TTCTTAGTAAGATATTTGTAGAGGTTAGTGTCTCAGGACAATTCCAACCGAAATGATGCCGCAGCTATCGCCTCTGAGCACGACTCGACCTCATTTAACTCCTCCCTNGGGGAACAATACCTCAGGGTACACCGAGGAGGTACACTTGGCGCAAGGGCTATTAATGTATAGCCATCATGACTGCAGGCTTAGGCTTTGAGGATGAAGGGGCTCATTAATGGCCTAGTATCAGTCACCCACATCGCTATAAAATGAGTGGTCAAGTCATATTAACTGCGAATGTCAGCTAGCATACTCGGCTCCTCCGAGCTATTATCTCTCGGCTCCAGTCCCAGGCGTCCTTTGAACTCCATAACAGCTAGAATCTCACATGTGTCGACCTGGAGGCTGTTGAGCCGCCTAAAGTCNAAAAAAAAAAAATCAGTTAAGTCCTAATAATTAAAGCATTAACATTTGAAAGTTTATGACCTTATATCTTCATAGTATTCAGCAACCAAATAGAGCATGTAACACTATGCAAACAATGAAAATTTTTGGTAACATATTCAAAGAAATATCAATTTCAAACATCATTTCATAGCATTCTTACCCAATTTGCAAGCATGTAAAAGAGAAAACAAACATGTCTTTGTCACTACATCCCATCAAAATCATGCTAAGTTCTTGAATTTAGACCTTAAACCACTGCCCATTAATTCATAGTAAAAAACTTATTCATGAGCCTCCTTATACAAACTTAATAAAACAAAACATGATAACAACTATCCACCCCAAATGGAATTAGAATGCAAGAATCATGATTTTCAAATACTACGATGAATGGGTTACCTAAGGTACAGTCACACAGCCTTCAACATGTGTCATTGGGCAATGATTGAATATCTAAATTTTAAAAAGAATTACATTAAATCAAAAGCAATCAAAATCAGCTTAGCTTCATTTTTTTGACCTTCTAAATTTTAAATCAGAATGACATTAAATCAAAAGCACTCAAGCAGATAGAAAACATTTTTTGAATGAGATTGCAAAGATCAAACCCAACAAATGGCAAATATTACAGAAAAAAAAATGAAGACAACTTCAAATAATGAAAATTTTTTAGCAGATGAAATTTCTATAAAAAATCCAAACAGTCTTCCAATTTTTTTTTGCTTTGTTTATAGCTGTAAAATAAAAAGAAAGAAAAGAGAGTTGAAAAAAATAAAAGAGAATTGCAAAAAAGACTAAACTCTACTGTTGGAACTTCAATTCCCACCTTCAATCTAAGCCTAGTACACCTTTTTGGCTTTTTTAACTCAAGCAAAAAAATGAACTTTGATTCATCAAGGCCTTTCATTAATGCAAGGAACTTATTTTACAGGAATTTATTTTGCTTTCTTTAAGAAATTGAATATAAAAACACCAAACTGGCTAACAAATGAAAACTTGAACTAAATTTACAATAAATTTCTCTAAAAATTATCAACAATTTCCACCACCAAACACAAAAAAGTCTAAGTCAAGTTAATCATCGTCACAATTGCCATAGAAAATGTATTAAAAAAAAAAACCCAACACACGTCTCTTCTCGAATGAACCTATTAGTTCCAAATCACTAATAGCTTTGTATGCTACATAAACGAGTAGAATCTACAAAAAAGAAATGCCAACTTGTTTATTTTGATTATTTTGTCGCACGAAGTCAACTTGCTTAAAAATTTCATGAGCTGATTTTTTGGATTTTTAACCAAACTTGCTTTTCAAAAACCGCAGCCTTGGCTGCTAGTCTCACCCAAAAATGCTCCACCCCTCCAATATTGAAAGTGAAATCTTAAACAATTGAAAGCAAACACACTAACAACCCTGCTTGGTTTAGAGATACTGGGATGTGAGTATCTTTTTCAAATTTTATTTGGTTTAAAGTATCACTTTCAAATTTATCCTCCTTTAAGTCCTTTTTTTTTATCAAATAATTGTCAATAAGTACACATTTTAAAACATTTTCAAATTCTTTCTAAAATGTATTCCACAATTCCCCTACCATAAATAATGCATACCTAATTGACAGCTTTTATATTTCCAATATCTAAATATTAGAATGTGAGACTTTCAAGATTTCTTTTGATATTTGTGTATCATTTGAATTTCGAAATTCCATATATATATATACTAGTCATAACCCGTACTTGAAGACATGATAAAATATAAAATTCAAGTGTCTAAAAAATTGATTCAACTATATTAAATTTTTTTTAAATACATTAACTACAAATTAATTAAATATTAAATAATTAAATATATTATAGAAATGAGTGATATGATATTTTTAGAGAAAAAAATATATAAATAATTAAATATATGATAGAAATGAATGATACGATTTGACGTTTGAGTCTAACAAAATAATGATGGGTGAGATAAGTGATTGATGATGGTTTTGAGGGAAAAAATATGACTGAGATAAAATTCAAATATTCCTGTTTTATTATATAGATACACACACACACATAGTAATATCAAATAGTAACACGCCAAACAAAGAAATAGTAACATCAAATAGTAACACGCTCAACAAAAAAATAATAGCATCAAAGATTAAATTTTTGATGTTACTATTTTTTTGTTGAACATGTTACTATTTGATATTATTATTTTTTTTTTGTTAAATGTGTTACTGTTTGATATTACTATTTTACTGTTTAATATTATTATATATATACATANTAAGTGATTGATGATGGTTTTGAGGGAAAAAATATGACTGAGATAAAATTCAAATATATTCCTGTTTTATTATATAGATACACACACACACATAGTAATATCAAATAGTAACACGCCAAACAAAGAAATAGTAACACGCTCAACAAAAAAATAATAGCATCAAAGATTAAATTTTTGATGTTACTATTTTTTTTGTTGAACATGTTACTATTTGATATTACTATTTTTTTTTGTTAAATGTGTTACTGTTTGATATTACTATTTTACTGTTTAATATTATTATATATATACATATATGTGTGTGTGTGTGTGTGTGTATCACATTCTAATTTTGAAGTCTTACATTCAATTAGGTATGCACTATTTATAGTAGGGGTAAAAAGGCTTTTATGACTGTTTTTTTAAAAGATATACTTCTATCCTAATAATTTTAAAAAGTGTACTTTTATTCTATTAAGTTTTTAGGGAGGNTATAGTAGGGGTAAAAAGGCTTTTATGACTGTTTTTTTAAAAGATATACTTCTATCCCAATAATTTTAAAAAGTGTACTTTTATTCTATTAAGTTTTTAGGGAGATACTGACCTCCCTAAGCCCCCTTGGTTTATAGCAACTAACCTCTTATTGTAGCCACAAAACCCCAATTCTCAGAGGGGAAAAACTAAAAGAGCTCGCAAGCCCAGCTCATCTTCGATGTCCATATGTTTGGGGATTTTGACAGGGTTGTTAAACCCGAGCAAAAACATTTGACCAACCAAATCTGAAAACCATAATTGAACACAAATAGAATTAGATAGGGTGAGCAATTCACAGTGGGTTACCTGAGGTATAGATGGGCAGCCGTCAACAGTTGTCATCAACCAATACTCCAACCACCAAAATTCAAAAAAAAAATTATATTAAATCAGGAACACTCCAAATTACACAACTAACCAAACAGGAAAAAGAAAAAAAAAGGAACTAAAAGTCACTTACGTGATCTTTCCAAAACCATCACCACCTAGCACCACTGCAACAAATGCCTAGAAGATCATAACAAAATTCAACATAATAGATTAAACCAAAGCAAAACATTAGAGTTAGAATTTGATTTTGTATTTTCTTTTTGTGTGTCGTGTGTTGGCATCATGAACGTTTAAAAGCAAAAACACAATAGCAACACATTAATAGTCCAATTTCAAATAACACTTCAATTCACAAAATTTCACAAAATTCACTATCCATAAATTAACTACCTCAAAATTGACCCAGTCACAAAATTCATGACACATTAAAAATTGCATAAAAAAATTTAAAATGGTAGAAAAAATACACTCAAACTCACAGTATGTGTGCGTGGCTGAGGAGTGGGTTGCAAGTGTGTGTATGTTGCTTGTGAGTGTTTCTGTGTTGGCCGAGAGGCTTTGTGTGGGTTTGTGTCTGATGGCTGAGGGGTTTGGGTCTGTGTTGTTTGTGTATGATAAGGGTGGAAGGAGAGGGTGTAGAGAGATGTGCTTGTAGACAGTAGTAGGTGTGAGTATGGGTGTGATTTGCTTATGCTGGTCTCTTAGGCATTTCAACAAATACGTCGTGGCCATTATGATTGGAGTCTGAGTTTTGGGCATCTCAACAAACATTTTAGTGAGAAACAAAAAGAAGGGATGGAGAGAAATACCTAAAAGATGGTTGTGTGGTCTTGATTGTGGTGCTATGATTGTGACAGTTGTGATTTGTTGGTGACGATGGCACTAGTAGGCTAAGAGAGAGAACATGTGAGTGTGTTAAGAGTGTACTATGACGGTGACAGTTGTGTTTTTACTTTAAATTTGAATTTATTTTTATTTAAATTTAAATTTAAATTTATTTTATTTTAAATTTAAGTTTTTTTATTAAAATTTTTTATATTAAATCAATTTTTTTACTTAAATTTAAGTCAATGTTAAATATCTTCTTAGAATTGCGTAAATTCAAAGGAAATACCCAACCCAAATATAAGTGTGACTTAACGGGAATGTGATGATATCAATATTACCACGTGTCTCCCCCTCTCACTCTATTTTTTGTGGAGAGCGAAAAAAAAAAGTGTATATAAAAAAAAAAATTGAAGGAGATGGTTGGATGATGTGCAAGGGTGAAGCTCCATCGGCAATAAAGCGGTGGTGCCACACTATAGAAGACCCTCATGTGTGTTAGGTGTATTTGCTTGTACATATATATAATACATACCATACGAAGGACGCAACGTCTGCTTGACTCCTCCTGGTCCTGGGTGAAGTCGTGCATCCTGGTCGTGGCTCAACACGCAATCAGCCAACGTTCCAAGCTTTTCACCTTCAATTCCAAGGTACTCATTTTGCATTTGCGTTTGCGTCGCTCCATAACATTTATTCTCTGATCTGATCATTAGATTTTATATGTTAAGTAATTCTTGTACTTTTTTCTTGAATTCTGAGATTTAGTGAATAGCATGTGTTTGACTTTTTGATCACACGAGATAGCATCAAGAATTGTTTAAATTCAAGAATTTATGTGAATTGTTTAGAATTCTTTATTCGCCATTAATAGATAATTCAATGTGCTTGCTTCTACGCAATTTTATTTTTTGTTGTTTGGAATCTGATCTCTTCCATTTTTGGTTATTCATAGTGACTAATAAGAGCTAAATTTTATTTTTGGTTTGATTTTGATTTGATTTGGGTGTCATGTCCCTCGATTCTTTTAAGTTTTGCATGTTTATTGGTTTTTTTTTCGTGGAAGTTAGTGAGAAGGGTTTTGAAGAATAGAAGAAATTTGTAGATTTGTGGGAGCCATTAGAGCTAGGGCTCTAAAAGATGAGTGACAATTTGATGGAGAAACTCAGTGCCTTTGGTGAGCGCTTGAAGCTCGAAGGGTCTGAGGTCAGCCAAAAGATCAGTGCTGGCATGAGCTCTATGAGCTTCAAGATGAAAGAATTCTTCCAAGGCCCAAATCAGGTTGATAAGCTCGTTGAAGAAGCAACAGCTGAAACTCTAGATGAGCCTGATTGGTCCACGAATCTCGAGCTTTGCGACATGATTAATCACAACAAGATTAGTAGTGTTGAACTGATTCGCGGGATAAAGAAGCGGATCATTTTGAAGAGCCCCAGGGTTCAGTACTTGGCTCTGGTGTTGCTTGAGACACTTGTTAAAAATTGTGAGAAAGCATTTTCAGAGGTTGCGGCCGAGCGGGTGCTTGATGAGATGGTGAAGTTGATTGATGATCCTCAGACAGTTATTAAAAATAGGAACAAGGCTCTGATGCTGATCGAAGCATGGGGGGAGTCCTCTAATGAGCTCCGGTATTTGCCTGTTTATGAAGAGACATACAAGGTATTCCTACAGCTTGAGCAGCCTATTTATTCATAATTCCTTCCCTTTTTTTTTAAAATTGCAAGTGAAGATGGTGTTTGATAAAACTGAAAGTTGAAGTCTAAAAATTGAAAGTTGAAAGCTGAATACTAAATTTGTGGATTGTTTGGCATTCACTGAAATTAAATACTGAATTAAACTAAACTGTTTGATAACTATACAGAACTGACGTCTGAAAATAAATTAATTTTCAGTTTTACCCTTTTATTTTTTAATTTAAAAATATTTATAAAATATATTTTTATCTAATAAAAAATGACAATATATTAAATCAATAATAAATTGAATAATAACATCTGATTAAAAAAAAAAAAGAACAACGACAAATAAATAATCGAATCACAATAAGTGAATAATAGCAAATTAAATTACACAATAAGTGAACAATAACGTCTAATCAAAAATAGTAATAAGACGAATGACAAGAAGGATAGATAGGTTAGAAGTTTTAAAGATAACACTAATTAGAGTTTTAATAGGATTGTAAAATTTTTTCGAGGTATAATTGTCATATTATAAATGTTATTAAAAATAATTTTATTCCTTACTTTTAGCTTTCAAAATTAAGTAAGAGATCTCTTACTTAATACTATAGCCTATTTTAAAAGAGTACTTAACATATTACGAGAGTTGAAATTTTAGTTATCAAACAAACTTAATTAATAAATGCCAAATACATTCATTTTAAGTACTGAATTTGGATTAACAAACACACTCCCTATAAGAATAGACAATATTCCATTTTGTCTCCTATTTGTTGGGTTTGTTGCCAAGAAAAATCATCCTCAAAATAACCAAATGCTTGATAGGCACTGTTGATCAATCATTTTACTAAAAAATCTTTTTTGGTTTTTCGGATGCTTCTATTTTTATTCTTTTTTAGAGTTTGAAATCCAGAGGTATGCGGTTTCCTGGTCGTGATAATGAGAGTTTGGCTCCTATATTTACTCCTCCCCAATCAGTTTTAGCTTCTGATTCAGATGCTAGTCCTGCCCAGCATATCCATCATGATATTCCTGTGCAAAGCTTTTCAGCTGAACAAACAAAAGAAGCATTTGATGTGGCACGAAACAGTGTTGAGCTTCTAGCCACTGTCATATCCTCTTCACCGCACCAAGATGCTTTAGAGGTACTTGTTATCTTATCGCCACTGTAATAATACATTGACGTCTAGACTATAGTTTGCTAACAAGTATGAGAGGCCTTTGGGGAAGTCTTAAGTGATGAGTTGCACATAGGCTTCGTACAACATGCACAATAAATCATTTTTCAGAGTTCTCTCATCCTCATAATTGGCTTGGTAAATTTGTAATGCGGGACACAGACCTCTTCCTGGTGTTCCAACTTTTTGCCAAGGTAACATTCTAATAATCTCATAGAACCAGTGATATGGGGTAATTAAACTCCTTTTTGGTCATGTGACTTCTGTGATAGCAATTGATACAGCTGTTGTATCTGGCCCATAAAAACTGCCTAAACTTATGCCCAGCCTAGTGTACAGATGTTAAGGAATTGCTATTCATCTCATATAATTAGCTTTGCACCAATACACATCTTTTGTTGAGTTTTAGGAATATTAGCAGTTGGAAAATTATTTTTTCCCTGATTAAAATTTGGAGGTCTTCTTGCGTGTTCTCTTGCTGCTGGGCAGATATATCATTTCTGATTCAAATATTTCGTTTACATTTTTAACCACTTCTGCATTGCTTTGGCAGGATGACTTGACAACCACACTTGTACAACAGTGTCGCCAGTCCCAGTTTACTGTGCAGAGAATCATAGATACCGCTGGGGATAATGAGGCCTTGCTCTTTGAAGCCTTAAATTTGAATGATGAAATCCAGAAAGTCCTATCAAAGTACGAAGATATGAAGAAATCTTCAGTGGTTCCACCAGAGCTGGAACCTGCAATGATACCTGTGGTGATTGAGCCTGATGAATCACCTCGCTTAGTGAAAGAAGATGCTCTGGTCAGAAAACCAGCTGGCTCTCGAGGTGGAGCCCAGGGAGGGAACAATGATGACATGATGGATGATCTTGACGAGATGATCTTTGGTAAGAAAGCGGGTGGAACATCCAAAGTGGGGCATGATAAAAGAAAGCAGCAATCACCAAAGGATGATCTTATCACCTTCTGAATTTCCTCTACACAGAAATTTCGCATGTGGAACAGGTGAGGCCTTTGATATGTGGGTACCAGACCAGTTAGGAAGTGTTGATATGAAGGTCAATGACTAAACCATCACAAAGAGGACTGGAGATTTTATTCTTATTTTGCCCCCGTTGCTTTAACACTTAAGACTTTTATTCATTGATAATGCACATTTTGTGTAAGTAATTCATGTTTGAGCTTGGGTGGTTTGCTCGATGATATATATGAAAAAATATTCAATCCCAACATATCTAGCGGTGGGGATCAAGTGTTGGATGCAATGGTATGAGAATGTGATGCAGAATCTATATGTACGTGTTGGTATGAATTTTGGTTCTCAGCCTTGGAGCATCGCTTATCGAGTGAGGTGATTATGTTGGAGGATATAGGTACGGTTTTGCTTGTTTCTGCATGGTATATTGTTATTAATAATTAGGCGGTGCTAGTTTTTATTATTGGCTCTTGCTTGGGAAAGCCAATCTAAAGTTCTCATGGAACTCCTTTGGACTTCTTAGGCTTTCAGTGCATAATCTACACCCCCACCACATTTAACTGACCACTGCATGACTTGTATGGTAATTGATGATGCTTAATATATGGCACCCCACGACCAATATTAGGGGTGTCCATAGGCTGGATTATTCATGGGTCTTGTTACTCGACCCAAAACCCAATAGGCCCATAATCTTGCTAGGCTTCGTAACTGGTGAATCACTATAATTTTTCACTTTCTTTTATCTCTTAGCTATAACTCAGATAATCATCCTAACTTGAGTTCTCGGGCTCACTTCCACAGCTCACCCTCACACACACAAATCTTGGACACANTTGGGAAAGCCAATCTAAAGTTCTCATGGAACTCCTTTGGACTTCTTAGGCTTTCAGGGCATAATCTACACCCCCACCACATTTAACTGACCACTGCATGACTTGTATGGTAATTGATGATGCTTAATATATGGCACCCCATGACCAATATTAGGGGTGTCCATAGGCTGGATTATTCATGGGTCTTGTTATTCGACCCAAAATCCAATAGGCCCATAATCTTGCTAGGTTTCGTAACTGGTGAATCATTATAATTTTTCACTTTCTTTTATCTCTTAGCTATAGCTCAGATAATCATCCTAACTTGAGCTCTCGGGCTCACTTCCACAGCTCACCCTCACACACACAAATCTTGGACACATCAATTAGCATTTGGTCCATATTTTGGCCTAGAACACCATCAGTAATAATTCATTACGAAGAAATCATGAGCTCGTGTCTTGGCTGTTGTTTGCTTGAGTTAGAAAAGCATTTCGAATATGCGTGTGGCGTAATTGGAGATGAAGAGAAACGTAACGCATCAAAGGGTGCTCTGGAGAGAGAGAGACAAACAATTGTGTTGAACAGTACACCAACCAATTGGGGAAGAAGTAATAAACTCCATTGTTGCCTTGTAAGTTGATTGAACAGTTGAACTTTTTATCAGCTCCAGAGAATTTTGGAAGTTGTTTAGCAAGGATTTCATGGCAAAACCCAATTGGACAAAACCTCATGAAACAACTTTAATTGAAAACTTCCATTAGATAACTTTAATGAAATTAAACGTTACTAATCTCTATGTTAATCTTCATCTTAAGTCCCAGTATAAAATTTTAAAGCTAGACATTGTTTATTTATTTTTTTGCTTTAAATATTTTTATATTTACTTAATACCTAATAATAATACTGTCTCTGTTACTGCCATTGTCACCAACAAAACCCTAGTGGCTGACTTACACAAAAAGCCAAAAAACAAACCCGGTTATCAGCAGACCAAATCCATCCTCTGTTCAAATCTTCTGCAAGTTGTAGCTCCGGGTCAGTTTTTGGAGCGGGTTCAAAATTCAAGCCGTGGGAAATATAAAAACCGACCCCAAAACCGCCATTTTTTTACTCGGAAAAGAAAAGGTTACAAAAAACCCGCAAAAGCCCTGAAACTTGTCCCACTTGTGTCTCTATTCTCAATTCTATTTGCCGCCTCCTTTTTCTTCTTCTTCAAACTCCGTTTGTATTATATTGTATTGTATGGAGCCTGTCAGAGCTACAGCCCCCCCCCCCTNTTTTCTTCTTCTTCAAACTCCGTTTGTATTATATTGTATTGTATGGAGCCTGTCACAGCTACAGCCCCCCCTCTCCCTCCCTCCCTCCCTTCTCTTCCTTGCCCTTCAAACCGCAAGGGAAGGTAGTGATGTAAGTCAATTGAAATTCAGTCAGTAGTACTTACAGTCTTTGAGTCTTAAATCTCAGTTTACTCTATTCTTTTGGGTAGGGGGTGGGTTTAGAGAGAAATAGAAATGACAAAAGCTTTTCCTGTTGCAGGGCTTATCTCAGCCCTAGCCTCTACGACCTTAGGTCTTGAACATGCCTATGCGGATGCTCCTTTCAATTTTTCTCCCTTTTCTTCTTCCTCTCCTCTTTGCCTTCGATATCTCATCAGGTTTCTCCTGATTCCGCGAAGCCAGCCCAGGCACCGGCACTGGCAGCGAATCCCGAATCCCCACGGGTTCGCAATGATAACCCACGGACTACTGCGGCTGGGTTCGATCCCGAGGCATTGGAGAGGGGAGCTAAGGCGCTGCGAGAAATTATTAGTTCTGCGCAAGCCAAAAAGGTTTGGAGTTTTTTTTTAGATGCAATTGTATTTCATGGATTTATTATGTTTTGGAGTGAAGTTGTGGTTGATGGCTANAAGGCGCTGCGAGAAATTATTAGTTCTGCGCAAGCCAAAAAGGTTTGGAGTTTTTTTTAGATGCAATTGTATTTCATGGATTTATTATGTTTTGGAGTGAAGTTGTGGTTGATGGCTATGAAGATGTGCAATATCTTGGGCCGTTTCTAAGAAGAGCAATGCTATATATCTCAAATTTGTATCTCAAATGTGCATCCCAAATCCACAAGAATAGTTGGATCGGTGAGTCCCAATTGAATAAATTAATGGAAGCCACTCATTTAGGATACAAATTTAGATTATAGCATTTTCCTTATAAGAATTAGTTTATTGAATTTTGATGTTTTATGGGAGGGATTTATTGTTCTTGGTTTGCAAAAAGAGTTGGTTTTAGACTTAGAAAAATAACATGATATTTTTTTAATGTTTTGTGGTGGTAATGCAGCCATTGATATTGGTCTAGGTTTTTGAGGTAATGAAGAAGCAAGAAGAGACTAGGCAGACGAAATTAGCTGCAAATTTGGCAGAGTTCAAAGCAATGCAAACTCGAGCTGAAACTGTATGACGGGCATCTCTCTCTCTCTCTCTCTCTGTGAATGACAATTCTATGAATTCAGGCACTTGTATACTTTATCCGATTTGGCCATTATATCTCGATTTCAGTGCCTTGGCATGTATGTAAATGGTTGTAGGTTGCAGTGTTTTGGTTCTTAGGATTGGTCTCCTGGTTTCGGAGACAACTTTGCTCTGTTTTTTGTTCTTTGGGGTTGTGAAATGACTTGTTTAGGTGTTATCTATGCTTTTAGGAAGTGCCAAACCAATCAGCTTTGTTTATTTAATTCATTTTTTTTTCCAGAAATTCGGAAAAAAAGAAGAAGCATATATCTATTTAGAAATAGAAAGATAAAATTTGCTTAATGGTTTGTTGCTTGCCCTCTTGTTTGGAATGGATGGTTCGTCACTAGTTCAGACTTTTTTAAGCTAGCATGTGGTTTGCATCCCTCAAGTGTGGCAGGCATGATTGTCAGCCAATCCAAGCAGAATGTGTTTTTGACTTTTCTATCTCATAATTGACTCAATTTTTTTTTGGCAGGAGAGACAACGAGTGGTATATGATGAACAGAAAAAGCTAGCTCAGCAACAAGCTCAAATAAAATCCCAGATCGCTAGTTATGAAGATGAATTGGCAAGGAAGAGGATGCAGGCATGAGACACGCTTGTGAGATTCAATTGATAGCTGACTCTTTTGGATGGTGATAAATTTGCTCATAATTTTGCAGGCAGAAAATGAACATCAAAGAGCAAGAAATCAAGGGCTCATAAAAATGCAAGAAGAATCTGCTAATAGGCAAGAGGCAGCAAGACGAGCAACGGAAGAACAAATTCAAGCACAGCGCCGTCAAACAGAAAGGGAAAAGGCTGAAATAGAACGTGAGACAATTAGAGTGAGGGCAATGGCTGAAGCGGCAGGGCGGGCCCATGAGGCTAAGCTTGCTGAAGAGGTCAACAGGCGAATGCTAGTAGAACGTGCAAATGCAGAGGGAGAGAAATGGGTTGCTGCTATAAACACAACCTTTGATCATATCAGAGGTAAATTCTCTTATAATTTTCTGTTGGAGTAATCTGTTCTGCTGGGGCTTTAGTATACAAGAAAATCTGCAGGAATTTTTCGCTCTATCATTGCTTGTTCATTGCTGTCAAACTATACACCAGTTCAGTGGATTGCAATCAGGCTGGCTAAACATTTGTTAGAATCTTTATGAAAAATCCAAAAACGTATACAATTGCTATATCTTAGTGTATTAATATAGCAATCTGAGCAACTCATCATGTGTCGCAGTATACCATGTGATGCATTGAAAGTACATCTGATGCCAAAATTGCTGAAGGGGGTGTTTGTTTCTTGCTCCAGCATGTTGTCACAAGTTTTGATAATTTCATTGTCATGTTTCTTGGTGGGAACCCTCTTTATCCCTCTATATCTTGTAGGTGGTTTGCGGGCAATATTAACAGATCAAAATAAGCTGGTTGTGGCTGTTGGTGGAGTGACAGCTCTTGCGGCAGGTATCTACATGACAAGGTATCAAATAGTTGTAAAATGTAAATAGTGTAAATGTTCCTCATGTGTGCTACTTGAATGTTGAGTGATGCCTTTGTAAACTTCAACTAGTTCTGGTGTGTAGTTTTGAGTCACTAATGTCTTTGTGTCTTTGGTCGTCATTGTTATTCCTCTCTCATATTTCCTTTGGGATTTGTAAGCCCTGAGCTTTGAATTTGAGGGAGGTTACCTTAGGATTCAAATTATTATTTTTTTGGAGCACCCACCTGGTCCACCCTGGTTCATGCATTCCCTGGTTCTGCATGCATGTGGTATTTACTGGGATAAATTCATGGTGTTAGCCCTATGGGGCACTCGTACTCGGGACCTATAACTTTTGGAAGGGGCTCTTGACCATCTTATATAGATGTAGCAAAAGTTGAAAAATGAATAGTTGACTTGCTGTATTATGCCAAGTCTTTCTGGGTAATGGATGCACGTGTGCTGACAGGTTTGATATATCTGCATGCTCGCAGAGAGTGTTTTGTTGTCCAGACATGGCTTGGTAAGAAAACTGGAGTATACTCTTGCATCTGATAGCATATTTCTGGAGACGCAAAAGTTCAAGCCTTCTGAAGAATGCATTTGTGTTTGTTAAAGTCGATTTTCTAGGTTAGACATCCATTTCTCTGTTGTATCTGGCAAGTGAGCTGCTGAAGTACGTGATGGTACATTTGCTATTACCTTCCAAATTCAGAAATATCTGGCAAGTGAGCTTCTGAACCTTTTGAATCGTGCATCTCATTTTAGCTTACGAGACAATCTCAGGTTCAGGTTGTGTTCTGTAGCTGTACTATTGCATGTAGTTAGGTGCATTAGATTTCTTGTGGCAGTTGTAGGCTAGTAGCAATTCTTCTGTTGCAATTGTGGTGATGGATATTATTGTTCTTATCTTTTCAAGTATTATAACCAGCTTCATTCATTGGCTCTGTTATGACTTCTGCAAGTCTGTTTCTCAAATGCAGAGAAGGCGCAAGGGTGATTTGGAGTTATGTGGATAGAATACTAGGACAACCATCATTGATCAGAGAGTCTTCTAGGGAAAAATTCCCTTGGTCAGGCATGTTTCCACATGCCATGAGCACTCTCTCACGTGGTGCTGATCAAGGGTCTGCCTTGCAAAATGGGAATGGGTTTGGTGATGTCATCTTGAACCCTTCTCTTCAGAAACAAATTCAGCAGTTGGCTAGTGCTACCACCAATACGAAATCCCATCAGGCACCATTTCGAAACATGCTTTTCTATGGACCTCCAGGGACAGGGAAAACAATGGCTGCAAGNATGGGTTTGGTGATGTCATCTTGAACCCTTCTCTTCAGAAACAAATTCAGCAGTTGGGTAGTGCTACCACCAATACGAAATTCCATCAGGCACCATTTCGAAACATGCTTTTCTATGGACCTCCAGGGACAGGGAAAACAATGGCTGCAAAAGAGCTTGCAAGCGAATCTGTATGAGATCGGAGCCTATTATTTTCTCATGTTGGTTTTTATTCAAATTCTTATATTTATTTTTTAGTGTAGTGCACAACTGCTTGCTTGTGCCATATCTTAAAACTGACTTCAGTGAATTGTACATTCCATATGTTTTAGAAGTTTGATAAGAAGTGGCTTAGTAAGAATGTCCCAGTTCCATTTATGTGTTTCTAATATAGTTTGACATGCTCCCAGGGGCTTGATTATGCATTGATGACGGGTGGAGATGTTGCACCACTGGGTTCACAGGCTGTTTCTAAGATACACCAGTTGTTTGATTGGGCCAAGAAGTCCAACAGGGGTTTGCTGCTTTTCATTGATGAAGCAGATGCATTTTTGTGCGAGTAAGTGGCATTTGCCTTTACATTTGATTTACTTAAAGAATTTGCTACATTTGTTTTGGCAGGAAAAAGTTCTTCTTGGTATATTGGGGGTCAAAGTCAAATGTTCAGCCTCTCATTTACCATTATTGTTGCTGCTGCTTTTATAGTTTTTGGCAAGTCTGATTGACCATTAGCATCGTATGAGAGACATCACTGCAGTCCATATTACTGATTAAAGTGTTCAACTTCTGTGAAAGGTGTCGGTCTACTGAATCTGTAAGATCACATATTTGAAGTTTTGTGAGTACTTTGCGTCATAGAAACTTCACATTTTTGATCGAGTATATGAGATAGTACTCAAATGAAGCCATTCTCACACACAAATAGGGCACGACACTACTGAATCTGCAAGATCACATATTTTAAGTTTTGTGAGTAATTTGCATCATAGAAACTTCACATTTTTGATCGAGTATATGAGATTAGTACTCGAGTGAAATCATTCTCACACACAAATAGAACAGTTACGCATCACTAATTTTGAAAGATGAGTAGTTCTGCTTTGCTTTCTTAAGGCTGAAGCATTGACATTCGGCCTTGGAGTCATTGCTAAGGAATAGGCAATGTTAAATATTTCTGAACACCATATATAGGGACTAGGGAAGAATCCTGGGGGATGGTAGCAATGATTGTCTATGGTACATGATGAGAGTGCTTTTGGGTTTTGAGGGAATAAACATACTTATGAGGAATAATGTGCAAGACTAACTAGGACAATCTATCATTGATAATCGAATCTTTTGTTGCATTTTTTTATCCTTTATTTTATGGTTTTTCCGCATGCCCTATCACCATGCAATATTCTGGCATCAACTCTTCCAATTGTTTGGAACCTAACACAAGTCTTGCTTAAACTTTTGACCCAACACTTTCAGGCGGAATAAAACCTACATGAGTGAGGCTCAAAGGAGTGCGCTAAATGCCCTCCTATTTCGCACAGGTGACCAATCCAAAGACATAGTCCTTGCTCTTGCTACAAACCGCCCAGGTGATCTTGATTCCGCTGTGGCTGACTGCATTGACGAAGTTCTAGAATTCCCTTTGCCAGGCGAAGATGAACGCCTCAAGCTGCTTAAACTTTATCTGGACAAATACATTGCTCAAGCTGGGGCGAGAAAATCGGGCTTGTTTTTGCATCTTTTCCAGAAACAACAGCAGAAGATAGAGATCAAGGGGCTGACTGATGATATTCTGAGGGAGGCTGCAGTGAAGACTGATGGATTCTCGGGAAGAGAGATAGCAAAGCTGATGGCTAGTGTTCAAGCTGCCGTATATGGGAGTGAGAACTGTGAGCTTGATCCAAACCTTTTCCAGGAAGTGGTGGATTATAAAGTCGCAGAGCATCAACAGAGAAGGAAACTAGCTGCGGCTGAGGGAACTAGTGCTTGATGGAGTAGTCGTATAATTATTATGTGTTACTGCCAGTGTTTTGCAAGTTGGCTAAGATTGAGCAGGTGAGTATCTGATTTTCTACTATATATCGCATACCCGCATGTTTTATTTACGGGTGGCATATCTATCGTTATATTCTCTCCTGTTGAAGGGGGATTTTGGGATTTTTTTAATTGGGGGTAGAGGTTCCTAATGAAATTCAATGTCGATGACATTTATCGAAGTATTTGATACGTGTATGTCATTCCCATTCACACAGTTGGCTGTTCTTTCTTTGCTTACTTTTCACCTCAATGTATGAGTAGTAGTTCGTCTATAAGCTTCTTGCCTTGAGGCTGCACCTTCGGTGTTCCTTGTGGGAAGATTAAATTTGTGATGTTTTGGGATATTACTAGAGAAAAAAATATTGACAACAACACTCGTAAATTGGATATGTTTCGCCAAACACATGCTATAAGCAGGCACAAGTCGTCTTTTTGCCAGCAAGCTGGAAAAAAGATAATACGGGTAGTTCACTGTTTGTTTTAGTAACAGTTTGCAGCTATTCAAACAGTTCATTTTGTAGCAGCAAGAGACGGGATATATCAGGATGAACCGATTTAACATGTCCACAGAGAAAAACAAGTAGGTGCAATCTGGAAGAACTTGCCAGTAGGTTGGAGTCATAAATAACTCTTTAAATAACGGTTTCTAACAACTTTAAAAACAGATCAGGCCGCCACCGAAATTAATGATCAAAAAAACCAATCAATTGGTTCATACGAAAAAAATAGTTGGCATAGCAAAGGTAGTCAACAGAGCAATTTATACCAAGAGAACAACACAGATGGGTACATCAAATTTTATTTTTTGCTGAAAAGGANCCTATCAGATCTTTTGTTCTAGCATACTCGTTTATAATGGAGATAAGTCTAGGGTATGAAACAACAGATAAACAACGTTACTTATTGACAACTACCACAAGAAAAATCCTCCAATTAAAGGCTATCATTAAGTAGAAATATTTTGTCACCAGCTATTTGGTAAACAACTACATAGAGCAAAATTACATCAGAGATCTCAAACACCCTAATCTTTTCTGCTCAAATACTTTCCTTGATGGAGATTGAAAAGGGAATGGATAAACTTCAATTGAAGAATTTAAGTTTTATTATTTCTTTTGGTATAATATTGTCTAGGGAATATTTGTATGATTGCGAGTGTTTAAGTAGTTTGAGTAGTGAGAGTTTGATTAAGAAACTAATTCAAAATTANACAGTATTTGTAAAAAAGGATGTCCTAGGACAGTATTGACTAATTTCAAATAGAGTACGTTTGTTTTCGTAATCTCTCTATTCAATGCTTGTTTACCAGAACAGCTGCAAAATAAGGAAAGTAAATTTAGAAACTAAATGTATCNATTTTTTAATTGGGGGTAGAGGTTCCTAATGAAATTCAATGTCGATGACATTTATCGAAGTATTTGATACGTGTATGTCATTCCCATTCACACAGTTGGCTGTTCTTTCTTTGCTTACTTTTCACCTCAATGTATGAGTAGTAGTTCGTCTATAAGCTTCTTGCCTTGAGGCTGCACCTTCGGTGTTCCTTGTGGGAAGATTAAATTTGTGATGTTTTGGGATATTACTAGAGAAAAAAATATTGACAACAACACTCGTAAATTGGATATGTTTCGCCAAACACATGCTATAAGCAGGCACAAGTCGTCTTTTTGCCAGCAAGCTGGAAAAAAGATAATACGGGTAGTTCACTGTTTGTTTTAGTAACAGTTTGCAGCTATTCAAACAGTTCATTTTGTAGCAGCAAGAGACGGGATATATCAGGATGAACCGATTTAACATGTCCACAGAGAAAAACAAGTAGGTGCAATCTGGAAGAACTTGCCAGTAGGTTGGAGTCATAAATAACTCTTTAAATAACGGTTTCTAACAACTTTAAAAACAGATCAGGCCGCCACCGAAATTAATGATCAAAAAAACCAATCAATTGGTTCATACGAAAAAAATAGTTGGCATAGCAAAGGTAGTCAACAGAGCAATTTATACCAAGAGAACAACACAGATGGGTACATCAAATTTTATTTTTTGCTGAAATGGAACACGTGCAGCGTTTTCAATTCCTCAAGATTGTCAAGCTGTAGCTTTGTATCAAGATGCAAGGGGGAGACAAGTACAGGCCATGCACTCATCATGGGTGAGCAGGCTACTATTACTACCAAGCCCTAGTGACGATGACCACCATGATCCTGAATATAACGTAGACCACAATACTTGCAGACAGCAGCAGGGGTGTCCAGGTCAAGGCATATGAACTCAATTGGATGCCCAAGTGCAGGATTGCTATCTGCAACCAGGAATAAACAGTATTTGTAAAAAAGGATGTCCTAGGACAGTATTGACTAATTTCAAATAGAGTAGGTTTGTTTTCGTAATCTCTCTATTCAATGCTTGTTTACCAGAACAGCTGCAAAATAAGGAAACTAAATTTAGAAACTAAATGTAACATGTACTAACCTCCTTCACAAGCAACAATCCTGCCTTCAACCTTGATGGGGGGAACTTCATTGATCAACTCCATGGGAGATTTCTTACTCGTGTCCTATTAATAATAGCAACAAGGGACTGCTGATGTAATAGCACCGCAAGAATGCAACAAAAGAAATAAACACCAAGGGACAAGTTTCAAACCATATGATTTTATTTTTTAGGGGATACCACTAAATAAGCATGCTTATACACACGGGCTCAGAAACATGGTCAAAAAGTAATTGCAGAGGAAGAAAGATTAACAAAGTTGGCTGGCCGAGAAGACTGAAAGAATAATTATTCTAATAATATATGCAAACCCCTAAATGGAATGACAGATGATGGGAAGATGGTAAAAAAAAAAAAAAAAGATTTAAGTTGGAAGCATATTTTTGAGGGAAAAAACTACTACCTTCATGTGAATAGCAGAACATATCATCAAATAGCAGAACAGAAACTACAATTAACTTTGCTCCCTTTAAATTCTATTAAGGCTGCTCCAAGAGCTTGTGCCAACTTGATTTTGGATGTTTGAACAAGAAAAAGGAACTTGAGAATCTGATACTGGCAATAACAAATAAACATATTGACCTAATGGTTCCAATCCTATCTCATGTTTATTTAAACATATAGGCACAAAAGCAAGCGTAGAACTCTCTCAAAACGAATAAAGAACAATTCACGGTTTTTTCTCTCCTATCAGATCTTTTGTTCTAGCATACTCGTTTATAATGGAGATAAGTCTAGGGTATGAAACAACAGATAAACAACGTTACTTATTGACAACTACCACAAGAAAAATCCTCCAATTAAAGGCTATCATTAAGTAGAAATATTTTGTCACCAGCTATTTGGTAAACAACTACATAGAGCAAAATTACATCAGAGATCTCAAACACCCTAATCTTTTCTGCTCAAATACTTTCCTTGATGGAGATTGAAAAGGGAATGGATAAACTTCAATTGAAGAATTTAAGTTTTATTATTTCTTTTGGTATAATATTGTCTAGGGAATATTTGTATGATTGCGAGTGTTTAAGTAGTTTGAGTAGTGAGAGTTTGATTAAGAAACTAATTCAAAATTAAGTAGGAGAATAATTTTTATTTTGGTAGGAAACTTAGCCTATAAAATATTGATGTAATCTCTACTATTTTCATAAGAGAGCAACATTTAATAAAATTATTTTTCTGCGGAGAATTTGTGTGTTTTTGACTTAATTCTTGCAAGGGTGGTATCTCTTTTTCTTTCTTCTCCTCCTCTTCCCTTCTCAAGCATTAGTCATTCTACAATAATGACTCGTTTGGTTATCTGATTGTTAAAGAAAAGAATGTATTAGGTAATACAAGTTAATTCTGTATAAGTGAATAAAAATACTACCCATTATACTAATTACATATTGACCAAAAAACCATCAATCTAGTCTAATTATGCATGTTTCTGTTTATTTGGTGGGCAGATTCAGAATAATAAATTTATAACCTTATATGGTTGAAGTGGATAATTTGGTGGGCAGAAAACCATTATAATCGGCTTAATAGTACAAGTAGGGTGTATTATTCGTATACGTAAACGAAATAAGCCTATATATAATATAGATGTTTTTGGTAACCAAATGTAATATAAGATTGAATTAGAGAGTTTAAATCTGTTACAATTCCGTAATCCACCATTTCATATTACAACCAAACGACCCCTAAATGAGTTAAAGACCAACCAACAACATGTCACGTTCACTCCACAAGTAACTACTTAATCAAACACAAGGTAAAAAGTGATCTAATTCTTCACTAGGTTCCACTGCCCCTCCGGTTTTTGCTTTAAATTTGAGCAAAGATCAAGGAGCTAAATGCTAATGAGACACCAGNAAACGACCCCTAAATGAGTTAAAGACCAACCAACAACATGTCACGTTCACTCCACAAATAACTACTTAATCAAACACAAGGTAAAAAGTGATCTAATTCTTCACTAGGTTCCACTGCCCCTCCGGTCTTTGCTTTAAATTTGAGCAAAGATCAAGGAGCTAAATGCTAATGAGACACCAAAAGGTTGGGTGGTTGAAAAACAATACTTACAAAAATAAATGTTGCTGAAACAAGGATAATGTGATGCATGAGTGACATCACAAGAAAAGATATTNAATTCCCTGTTTTCCTCCGCAATTTGTCATTTTATGGATCCCGGAAACTGGATATGGATTGCGAGAGAAGGTGGAATGCAGATATTCAAGTTGACTCCTCCTGCCTTGTCCACTGAGTTAAGGGTTTAGGCTTAATAAATAATTAGGGTGGGGGATCCCCCAAAATAATATTATAACTAAACATTNCTGAAACAAGGATAATGTGATGCATGAGTGACATCACAAGAAAAGATATTATGAGAAATAGATGTATCCATAAGGAATCAAAATGACATAGGAGGAAGTGATTTGAGATGATTTGGTGATGCTATACAGATTAAATTATACATCAGCATGAACGAGTAAGTCACGTCAAGTTCAAGGGGTCAAAAGGACAAGAGGAAGACCCCCCAAAAATGTGGGTTAAGGTTGTGAGAAAGGAAATGATTGTCATGACTTCAATGAGAAAAGGCAGATCCACATAGCCAACTTCAATTAGTATCAATTAAGGCTCGTTAAGTTAAGATTTAATTTGCAAGATTCCAAATTGGCAAAGGTGAGTGAAGATCTCCTAGCATATGAGCCGTGTCATGACAACACAAAAGATGAGCATTCAA